CTATTGTGTGTGTGTATCTATAACTTAAAATACTCATTAAATCATTCTCTAATTCATAGTCATTGAAATAATTCTATCACTAGAATAATTAGGTATCAAATTATATAGCTTATTTCAGTAGCATTAATGATGAATAAGCTCAAACAATTTCATACTGAAACATGAATTATTGCTGCTTAATATCTGATCAAGAAAAAGTCTGGTGGCTAACCAGACTCACTTCAAAGCTAAGATGACTCTTACCCCACTAAAATGAGCACAATGTACATGGTTCAACTTTCGAATTCAGAAAAGTGACAATTTATTTCATATCATAGTTTTGCTCAAACTGGTAGAAAACAAGTTATATTTTTTGTTACGCATTTGTTTTGTATTTTTGTTTTATGTTGTAATATAGTTGCTGACCTCTTTTCCTTAGCTCCCATATACTTCAATTTTGTTTTTTGCTTAGGGAACAATTAGGGAGAAAGTGACATCTCTGTAATTGTGTGATAAGTGCTTATAAATCTATTTCTGTGTTCTTTGTCCTGAGGAATGCTTTATAGCAGGAAAACAACTCACATTTGCATTAAATTTTCTATCTAACATCTGTAAAGATAATATACTTCATCAGTTTGGTGGTTAAGACTTCTAGTTTGGTAAGAACTCTAAGGTAATTTCCATAAATTGGGTGATGCATGAAGATGATACAGTATATTGGCAGAAAGAATTTTTCATTTTGTTGTTCCTGTTTAAAATTCTAGACTTCTATAATTCAATATGTAAATTAAGTTTTTAGTTTTAAATAGTTATAGAATGATTTATGCTATGTGAATGCAAATCAATGCTAATGCAATATATTTTAATACTTGGGCACTTAGTGAAATAACATTGGAAGCTACATTATTTTTGTTTCCTGTTTTAAAATACTACAAAAGTTTATACTACAAAAGCCTGTGGAGTTTCAGATAATCCTATATATTACTTCAAAAAAGTGACTTATCTACAGGAATTCACCTGGTGATATGTCTGAATTGCTGATTAAACTTTAAAAATTATGTTAAAATATTTTAAGCAGTTCCTTAACTAAATTAAAAAATCATATAATTTAAATAATGTAAGTCCTCAAGTACAGAGCTGTGGATCAAGAAGACGTAGTACATATACACAATGGAATACTACTCAGCCATCAAAAAGATAAACTATTACATTGTGGCAATATGAACAGGGTTGGAAGGGATATGCTTAGTGAAATAAGTCACAAGGAGAAAGACAAATACTGGATAATGTCACTTATATGTGGAATAAAGAGAAAACAAATGAAAGGTCAGATAAAATCAATCTAACAACAACCCCCAGAAAGCTGACTGTAGAACTGAGACTACCCAAGGGGGAGAAGGGGCAATAATAAATTGAGAAGAAAGCAAAATGGACTATGGTTTGAAGATTACATGTGTTTTGGTGGTTGGTGCGGAGCACTAAACAATACCTGAAGGGGGAGATCCCATACTTCTCAAGCACAATGATGTAAATTAATGTTACCTCAAAAAAAAAAGTATGCTTGTCTTTTTTATATGTAGTTGTACAATTTAAATATTCTTAGTTTCACTAGTTACATTCTTGTTTTTTTAGAAATTCCCTACATTTGAATGAGTGTGTTCTCATATAACAGACTATTAAGCAAAAGGGAAAACAAAAACTTATATTAAGGTAGAAAAGAGCATAAGACTTGTTTTAATGAATGGAAAAAGGTAATAAAAGTGTATGGTATGGAAAATGTTATGCCAAAATAAGTCCTAACTGGGCCCTGCATCTCAATTTACAGATGTCTACATTTTATCATTGATACTGTAATAATTAACAAATCTTTCTCATTCCTTTATATATGAAAGTGAATTAGTAGTTGACCTACTATATAATTTCAGACAGTCCTTCACAAAATTAACCACAGAATATCAAAAGAACAGGAAAGTGATGATGTACCAAAAGGGTTCTAGAGGATCTAATCTGATAAGGGAAAGATATCTTTAATGTTTTGTTTTAAAAAATTAAACACAAATGTTATGTTCTATGCAGAATAAATTAAGCTCAAATTTATATTACTTGTTGCTAAGTAAAATAGTTCAGGAAATGAGCATGATTTTCTGAGGCTTTGTGTGTTAATTGGCAGTTGTCTTCTACCCTGGGTTTAGCACTGATTTGTGAAATACCACAGAGTCCTGCTAACACAAAGATATTTGTCCTATAGACTGTCATTTTTTCCCCTCTTCTTTCTGAAGAGAATTATGAATGACCAACAACATGAGGAAAAGCACTTTCATGAAGAATGGTTTATACCACAATCAGCCTAATAGTTCCTAGGTGATAAGCAGTGTAAGGAGTATGGTCTTTCAAGACAGAAAGATGTGCATTCTGATAACATTTCCACTGCTTCTATGTATGATCTTGGGGAAATATTTCAGCTTGTTCTAGTCTCCATTTCTTGACTCTATCCTACAAAAGGATAGCAATGCCCAATTCCTTATGTTACAATGAGCATGAAAAGACAGTGTTCATAAAGTGCATAGTACACTTTGTTCATCCAACAAGGATTGACTGTATGCCTGCTGTTGTTAGCCATTGTGGTAATCACAGAAAATAGAGCTGTAAACAGATAACCCCTGGTCTCTAGAGGTCAGAGCATATGAGGCAGAAACAGAATCAAAAATAGCAAATTTTTAAAGAAACAAGGCAACTGTCTAGATGAGTAAGATTTTTAATAGAAAACTAGTAAGATTTTTTAATAGACAGAAAAATAGTGTGATATTTCAATGGTACAGTAGCACCAGCCCATGTTGGCATGTTTAGTATTTGCATTTCTTCCCAGTTCTGAATTTAGTGACATCATATGGGTAGTTTGAAATTGGCCATTGTCAGGGTATTTATACCAAGGAAATCATTAAGTGTCACAAATCAGCCTGTTCTCCTCCTCCTGCTCTAGACAGCTTGTTATTTGTTTATCAGAATGTAGTAGTGACAGGGTTATGTAGGGATGGTTAACAGATGGGATCCCAAGGAAATAACATTTAATTTGGAAACTTAATGATATGAAGTGAATCCTTGTACAAATCCAGGGTCACCGCTGCTACCCTCAGCAGTTTATTTCAGTCAATCCGCCTCTTCTGCTCCCCATGCTGTCTCTGGTGAATCCTCTCACCCCCCACATCTCTGGTCTATACCCCAGTTCTTGTATGCATAAATAAATAAATATTAAAAAAAATCCAGGGTCAAAGAATTTTAGGCATACAGAACAGTGGGGGAGAGGCCTTAAGGTTTGGAATGTTTGAGGAACAGAACAGATAATTATGATAGTGACCATTTCTGAGATGTTAACTTGGGTTGGTGTTACGGAGAATGATTAAGGTTGTGAGCTTCTAGGTATTCAATGTGTGACATTAACTTTCTTGTACATTTTCATTGAGGTAATATTACTTTACAATACTGTATATAATTCAGAGGTTCATACTTTTTAAAAAACTGGCCTGTGATCTCAACAATCTCTGATGTAGAAAATTCCATTTGCTTACTCAGAAGAAGCTAATACTGAGTTATAACACTGTAGGACTTGATCTTTGCAAGACACTTACTAGGCAAGTGAAGAAAAGGTGATTCTTTTACTTGCAATATGCTGCTAATTAATGGAGAACCTGGGAGTGAAAGTTTGGTAGTACTAGCCTCAAGGCCTATCCTCAGCTTCTAGTCTGTGTTGCAGTGAGAAATTTGAAGAGCTAAAAGAAGGTTAAATAAAACAGAATGTGCTAAAAATGCTTTGACTGGCTGAGGAGGCCAGAGAGGAGAAGCAGATGGACTAGGTTTCCAAAGGAAAACCCTAGAAACTCCATCAAAGTTCAGGAGTCTGGAGAAAGTAGTTGCCACAGAGGAACTGTACCAGTTATGAAGGCAAACTTGCCTCACATTTGCCAAGAGGGGCTATTGATCCCTGTCTCTGGAGTATCCTTATCCTGGTTTGATTTTGAATTCATCTTTCAGAAAGTTAACTACTTGTGGGTCTGAAATTCCAGTCCAAATGTTGAAGCATTTCTTCCATAATAACTTGAAAATATTATCTTGACTATCTATGTCTTAACTATTCTTATTATATACATGTATCACTAATTTTAGAACTTAAATATTTTAAAATTTTATCCACAAAGGGATATAATTAAAATTTTCCCTCACAAATGGATGTAATTATGTCACCTTTTCTAAGGATTTTCTTTTCAAAAATTTTCATTATTGCATACATGAATGCTTTAATTTTATTTATATTTTTATTACTAAATTGGTATTTTATTAATGGTATGTCTTGATCCTAATTTTAATGTTTAATATTCTGTCTCATCCTTAATCTATAGGGAGAGGCACTTCAGTGTGAAGGTACATTTTCTAACATGCTAGTATATCCATTTCTTGATATAGCAAATAAGTAATTTTGCAATAGAATTTCTAAGAAAGTCTTGATAATGCAACACGAATGAAAACAATGCATTTATTTTCCTACCCAAACCATGCTTATAAATTAGGTCTTGTTATTCCAGTAAGTACCATCACATTCAAATAATTTTCTTCTTAATTTGCATTTTTTAAATTAAGGAAACAAATTAATATAAATACTTCAAGCAAATTGAGTAGTAAGGCAGAGGGAATAGGATCCATGGCATCTGTAGCTTAAATGGTACTTAAGTATTTTTTCCTTTTTTTCAAGTAGGATAGGAGTTTCAGGTATGAGCAAAATAAAATCTAGCTGCAATCTGCTCAACACAGAGGGATTTTCTTGGAGAAGAGGTGAGAGTCAGGATGAGGGTTGGAGTGAAGGGCCACAGGGGTCTCATGAAGAACAGTGGTCATGGAGAGTGTGAGATCTAACCAGCATGCCTGAGAACTCACTTCTCTTAGACATGAATTTGAGTTTTTCTGCATGAAGTCACACTGAACCTAATGTATGTTTTCTCTTGAAAGTTAGAAAAGACATTTGTCCATACCTGAAGTGCAAATCTTTAAAGGAGAATTGAGTTTCAATGATTCCAGTTGTTTTCACTCGAGAATGAAGAACATCTTGCTCATTTGGGACATATCCAGGAGCTGTTATTCTGTCCAAATCATTAAGGTAGCTAATTAGAAAAACAAACAAGGTGGCATTTATATTTGAAAATGCCAGGAGTTAATACAAATGTGTGTTTAATTTAGGGTAGATTAAATTTTTTAACTCAAGACTTTTTTAACTCCAGTTTTTCAAACTCTTTTGAGTGTCAGAATTATAGGCATTTGGTGGCTGAGATGATGCAGAGCCTGGGTGTGGCACACAGTTGACCCATAGGGCTGCTTTCAAAGGTGGCTGGATCAGTGCTGTCTTAGCTCCTGTTACGTGAGGTGTATGTGATAGATTTAGAAGAGTTCTCTTTACAGATGTACCACCCTTCCCCTGCCACTCCTCCCTTCAATTGTGCTATGGTGGAATGGTGGTCACTAGACTAGTCTCAAAATACCATCCTTTGAGTGTAGGCACTTTGAATTTTAATAGTGATTAGTTTTACTATCACAATTTGAAGGTTGTTCTATTGTTTCCCATGGGTTGTGTAGCTTAGGACTTTGAGTCATTTCATTAAGTGCAATTTTATCTCCAGTAAGATTGAAAAAAGAAATTTCTGACTTTCTTGTTGGTTCAATGCTGTAACTAATGAAATTGCTGACCCACCTCTGAGCCAGCACTCCTGGGGATAGAAGACCTGACTTACTCATGACACCCATTCCTACACCTTTGTCTCTTCTGTCAGTGCATCTGGGTGTCCATATTTTAAAACTACCCTTACTTGGAATAAGTCTGATTCAACTGTGTGCTTTATAGAGTCTCTTTGGTTAGAGGAAAGAATATGCTTTTTGCCTCATTCTTGAAACCAGATGTCTTTAGATTAAAAAAAAGTAAAGTACATTATTGCTTTAAAAATAGTCAATCAGTTGAAAACCTCTGTTCTAGACTTTCAGTACTAAGGCTTTAGTAGCTTTTAACAGCATAGCTCTTTCTCGGAAAATGTTAAATAGAGATAGTAAGAGCCTGCTAGATTGTTGGTGATTAATTTGACCATTACAGTGAACTAAGTTTACATGTGTAGCTTAAGTAGAATGACCACGATGGCATAAATCTAGTCATGCAAAATTTGAGATGTAGAATCCAAATGAATATTATTATTTAACGTAAAATTTTCTAAGACTAAGTTGAAGAACTAGCATTTTGGCATCTACCACAGTAACTTTAAAAAAAGCAAAACTATTTTATCAGTTTTATAAAATGATTTCAATAGCAATATAGAAATATATTCTTACATGATTTCACTTGCTCTTGAGATAAAAAGAGCAAAGAAAAGGCAAGTGTCCCAAAGGGATTTAGGCCCAGGTCAAATTGACAGTCACATTTCAGAAACACACATATGTATAATGTAAAAATTCATTGCCATGTTTTATTCTGACAAGGTATCATATTTTCCAAAAAAAGACAAATATATACACATATTGAAAGAAAGTATTAGAAAATTTTTCTGGTTTACTTATCTTTTTTCTCTTGTGTGAAGGAAGTTTTTGATGTGAATTCCTGATTGACTTAAGTCTACTTATGTGGTTGGCAAGTAAACTATTTGTCAGTTGGGTCAAGCAAGAGTAAAAAACTGCCTGCCAACACAGATTAACTTTATTTTAGTGATAGCTAAACAAATGTTTGGGTAAAGACACATTATAGTGTATTTTAATTTGCATGAATAAATAATTTCATGCAAAGCATAAGTATTTGCAGAGTGACACATTTGCATTTAAAATGCTTGTTTTAATAAACAAATGTAGGATTTGGATGAGCAAGCTTCTGATCTAAAAACTTAAACCAAAGCAGAGAATCTAACTACGTATAGCCCAGTCACTTAAAAATGATGTTTCTTTTTCTAATCATGTAAAAATTTGTATTTTTTTTTCTGATGCAGTCTATGTTAAATCTTACAGTACATGGGACATAAATAGCACACTGGATGACCTCAATAAGTAAGCCATAAAATATTAATTAAAATCTTTTCCCAGTTTGTCACTGTCATGCACTTTTTCTTTCAGTTTGCTAGTACTGATGGTTGGTAGTGGGGAGTGTGTTATGTTGCCAACAAACCATTCACTTTTCTCCTCTGTTAAGGACTTTGTTAGCTTCTACTTTAAAGAGTTCTAGGTTTGCGAAAAGAGCAAATTATTTCGCTTTCATTAAAAAATAGGAAGTAAGGACGCAACCACTGCCCTATATAATGTGTGTAAAATAGATGTGCTTGTGGTACCAGTATCATATTACATTTAGTTTTAAAATGTGGATGTTATCCAGTATTGAAATATCTATTAAGTTTTGGGAAAAGACAATGGCTGTTCAATTATTTTTCTTAGTAAGTGCTTAATCTTTATTTCAATCACCCTTAAGGGCAGAGAAAAGTTAACAATGAATTCTCAGTATGAGGGGAAGTCAGTTCCTATTGTTATTCTTCTGCCCTGCAAACCAACCTGGGAAGTTAAAAACCACTACAACTTGGGCAATATTCACAAAATGAGTGCAAAGACATACGGTATAGTTGTGTTTAACCTGAAAAAAAAAAAACAAAAAATGCTTTCACTATGAATCTGTACTATGATAGGTATTCCCAACATAAAATACATTTTATGTTTTAAAATAAAGAAAAAAGAAAAAACTAAAGCTTAAGATTACAAAGTATGGAAAGTAAAATGTAATATCTCTTGCCACTTTTGACTATATAACTTGTGAATATGTATTTTTTTCACTTGAAGAATTTGGTATATGTAGTGTTAGGATTGCAGAAACATTTCTCATATTTTAAGGAAAAATCACATTTAATTAATACTATGTGTCCAAAACAATATACTATAGTTCCTTTGCAGCTTTTTTCCCTCCTTCCCCAGAATTTGCCGGTTGTTATGGGAATATTCCATGTTTGATTTCTTATTAATTGTGACTGCCTTTATCCGTGATTCATATAGAAAAACAATGCTATGCTACAAAGAACATTTTTAGTGTAAAAATTTGGCTAGGCCATAGGACACATAAAAAGCTACCAAGCTTACACAATCATGAGGCGCTAACAATTCTCTGCTTCATTAGAGATACTAGAACACAACTTTCCTCCAAGGGCTGTGTGTCCATGGATTTTGGAATTTAAGGTGAACACAGCCGAGTAATTTCATAAAGCTGATTGTTGTTATCTTGTCCTAGAATTGATGTGACTTGCTTTCTCTTCGTAATACTTACAAATCTGAAGTACACATTTCATTGCTCTCGCCTTAATCTTTTATTTGCTTCACTTTTAACTTATCTTTTCAAAGTATTGTTAACATGTTGTTGTTAGTCCATTAAAAGGATTGTTTGTTACTTTTCACACATTTTTACGAATGGAAAGACATATATAATAATTAAGTTATATTTACGTATGTATACACAAGCTTGCAAGCATGTAACCATGGGATATGTTAAGAATCACTTACTAAAATGAAAATTTAAAATAATTTTGGTAGTGAAATTATAGTGTCTAACCTCCTAATTTCCTTGTGACTGATAATTGCTAACAGGATGATATTAGCTATAAAAATTATTAATCTTTTTGAGCCTCCAAAAGAATCCCACAATATATAGATGTTTTGGAAATACATTTGTTTCTTCTAGAACTCTGTATCATGTTTATCAGACCAGTGGAGCCAAAGCACATGTCATCAATACAGTGTTTTTGGAACACGTCATCAGTAATGTGAATTGAAATGAAATGTATAGCCAAATCCTCAGTGTGTGTGTCACTGGCGTGCATGTTAAATAAGGTATACAATGATTACTACTAATTGGAAGAAAATATTTGTGACATTTGGATCATCTTAGACAGATAGCTACAAAATGAATAGCTTAAAATGCTTGCCTGGGGCCTCCCTGGTGGCACAGGCATTGAGCGCAGTGCTGTGAAGATGTCCGCAGCCTCTACAGTGCGAGTTCGATCCCGCACTGGCCGGTGAGATACACATATGGTGCGGCAGACTTCTGTCTATCCCGCTGCTCCCATCAGCAGTGTGTTTCCGTCAGTCTGCCTGTTCTGTTCCCCACTCTGTCTCTGGTGAATCCTCTCACCCTCCCACACATCTGGCCTGTACCCTGGTTCTGGTATGCATGAATAAATAAATCTTTAAAAAAAATGCTTGCCTGGTTTTAATTTTTCAGGTATCATTTATGTCTTGATCTTTTCTTATTTCCCTTCAAATTTTATTTCAGTAAGGTTATTTATGATGATAAATACAGAGAATCTAGAATTATAATTCTTAATTTTAAATGGATTGACAGGGAGTATATCCTGTCAAACTACTTACTAAGCTGCTGAGTCGTTGAGCTGATATTCAGATGCTCGTTCAAAACAGGCCTGAACTCCTGGATCTCCCCATAGTCGTTTTATCACTTCAGCTAACTCTGGCGTCATGCCACCATCTCCCAGCATATTTGCCATTGCACAGAGTTCTCTTTGGTCTTCCTAGAGCAATGTTTTGGTGAGAAGGATAAAAATATATTGATATTTGAAATTACATTTTTTTAAATAGAGCATTTCCATTTGGTGATTTTTATCTTATTCTTTAGGTTATAATTCTGATGAACATTTATTCAATAGATCTTAAAATAAATAGTGCTAAGTTTTCTTATAATAACTGATGTCTAGAAGAGTTGTCATGCAAAAATTGCTATCTATAAGGATAAATTAGGGGTTTTTTTGGTATATATCATAACTTCTGAATATGCTGTCAAAACAAATAATACTTTGATGTACGCTCATTGACCTTTCAGACAGTTAAAATGCCTGGGTTAAGGAGAATAAATCTAATCTAATCTGTCAGTTTGCCTTCCTTTGATCATGGCTATATATTTTTTAGGAAATAAAAATATCATGTAAGAATTGAAGTGTAAGAATTAGAATGAAAATGGAGAATAAGACTCAATACTCTAAAATTCTATTTCAAAAATATTGATTTAAAGAATAAAAGAGGGAACAGACATCCTTCCATGACTCTCTACCCTCCTACCCTCTTTTTTTTCTTCAGAGTACTTACTACTATTTATATAGTTCTCCCTACTATCTGAAAGTAGAGCATTTGTATTGGGCATTATTTAATAGATTATATTTTGGGACTGGGAATGTTATTATCCTTAATTTATGTGGAAAAAATTTAGTGTATATTTCTTTATTTCATCTATGTTGTATTAGGCTAAAAGCACATAAAGGCAGAGACTTATTATTTTTTTTTTTTGCTTACAATTCTTATGACTGAGTGTAGGATCTATTATATAGAACATGTTCCTGAAATATTGTATAAGGAAATAAAATAAATATGCTAATTATCCTAGATGTTATGTTTTAGGAAAACTTTAAGGATTCTCCATTAATTTCACCAATTTTTCATGTAGCTCCAGGAAGGCTTGCAAGGCATCCTGAAGAAATTTTATTTGGGAAAGCTTAGAAATTATGGTGGTTCTGGTATGGTTCATTCTCTCAAGGTGGTACAATTCTGGGACAATGCTGCATAGAAAACAGAACTTTTGTAGAAATTGCTCAGACCGGGCCTCCCCGGTGGCGCAGCAGGTTGAGCGCAGCACTGTGAAGTTGTTGGCAGCCCCTGCAGCACTGGTTCGATTCCCAGCCAGCCAGGGAGATTCCCACATGGCGGGGCAGACCCTTCCTGTCTCGCCTACTGCTCCCCTCAGCAGTATACTTCGGTCCTTCTGCCTGCTCTGCTCCCCGCTCTGTCTCTGGTGAATTCTCTCACCCTCTCTCACCTCTGACCTGTACCCCAGTGCTTGTATAAATAAATCTTTAAAAAAAAAATCTTAAAAAAAAAAAGTTGCTCAGACCATCCTCATCAACAGGGGACATCAGATGGTCCTAGAAAGTCATGAGCTCTTTGTGAATTACAAATATCCCCCGTGATTGTGGAAAAAACATCAAATGATAACATAACCTAGGAATTCTTGGTTAAAACGCCATGGTTGGTTGATAGAAGATTTTCAGGGCTTTTGAGTACTATTATTGTAATTTCCATGAAAAGTTTGTAAACAAACACATTAACCGTATCGCATCATATAACTTTTGTTATAGAATATCTCGAGGAATCAATGTTTGTTTGATTTACAGCTCGGTTCAATTTATAAGAGTCTGTGTCAAACATGGTAAGATACTCAAATCGTGTTTAAAGTATTGTAACTTTCAACATACTTTTATGTCAGCCAACTGAATGTTTTATAGGTTCTAAAACTGAACATACTAATATTCAGAGGGGATAATAGCAAATTTATTAAATATCTCTATTATGTGTCCCTTTTGGGGGACTTCACACGATTCTCCCTTCACAACTCTTGAACTGCCTCTCATTATCTTCTCACTGATCTCTCTGCATTATTAAATTCAATTCATTACTTAAAATTTTTTTTAATGTGGTAAATACACATAATGGAATACTACTCAAGTATAAAAAAAGATGAAATCTTGTTATTTGTGACAACATGGATGGAAGTGCAGGGGATTATACTAATGGAATGTGTTAGAAGGAGGAATACAGATGCTGGTGTTCCTATTCATATGCAAATATAAAATAAAGCGATGAAACAGACAAAACTAACCAACACAAACTCTAGAAATCTAACTATAGAGGGAGAAAGGAGGATGGGGAGCAAAGTGTAAGAGACTTAATCCTATTGTAGAGGATTATGTGCACTTTGGTTTGGTGTGTGTGATTTGGTAGCATACATCTGAAAAGTTGTATACTTAGACCCCTAAGACATATACAATTTTGTAAACCAACATTATCTTATTAAGAAATAATTTAAAATACATACATACATACATACATACATAAAGGTCTTTCACAGGACCTTTCAATTTGAATAACCTTCCTTTGAAATGCTTCCCTTAAATTCTGTGAGTCCACATACTCCAGGTTTAGTTCCTAAAATTCTATGCTGTTCTCCACAGAGTTTCCTATTTCTCTCAAATGGCCAGAAAATGTTGATGTTTTTCCAACTCTAGTGTTTAAGGATCTGTTCTCCTAGTGCCCTTCTCAGGTCAGTCTCAGCACTTAGCAAACTTTTCCCATCCTATGCATTTCCTTAGCATATATTAGATGCCATAGTTTAAAGGTGTCTAATAGCATCAAGATTTACATCTCTTTGAACTGCGAATGCACATTTTCAAATGCACAGAATTTACAAACTCAAAATTTCCAAAACAAAACTAATTTGTTCTCAACTAGGTGAGAGAATTCCTTTTCTTAGTGATTCTTTCTACATATTTGGGACATTCTACATCCAGCTATGCTGCCATTTGAAATAGTTGATGCATTGTGATTACTTGCTCAACATCAGTTTTTCCTTGTCTTGATGGCAAATACTCTTTTCATTTCATTTACTGCTGATTTCTCAGCACAAATCCAGTGTCCTGCAAATGTCTGATAAGAGTTTAATGAAAAATATTTTTCAAATGCTGTTGAATGTGTAGATTTCAATATGTAAATTTTAATGAGCTTATGTTCAAAGTGATTATTGAAAAGAAAAATACCCTAATGTTGTAACACCTTCTGTGATACTTCATATTTGAGGAAATTCTTATTTCCCCCCTCTATTCTATTTGTTTTTGAGGTAGCATTGATTTATATTGTTGTATATGATTCAGAGGGGTGTGTTCATACATCCTCAGATGTGTATCACCATACTCCATCCACCCCAGAGCACCCATATCCCTTTATCCTATACCATTGGGCCCCCTCCCCACTCTGTTCCCACCCTCTCCCTTCCTCTCTGGGATTCTCAATACTGCAGTCATATTTCTAGAAATCGTTTTGTTCTAGTTTTGTCAGTTCCTTTGTTTCTTTGTACTCCATGTTTGAGGGAAATCATCCTGTATTTGTCTTTCTCTTGATTATTTAAATTTAGCATAATCCCAACTGATTCCATCCATTGTTACAAGTGACAGGATTTCATTGTGTGGCTTCTAGTGTTTCTGCTTCCTTCTCTAATAGTTGTTTTTTTTTTTTTTTTTTTTTTTTTTTTTAAAGAGGCATGTATTTTTATTTATTTATTTGTTTGTTTGTACATGCACTGGGTACAGTCAGAAGCGCGGGAGGGTGAGAGAATTCACCAGAGCCAGAGCGGGGAGCAGAGCAGGCAGAAGGACCGAAGTACACTGCTGAGGGGAGCAGCGGGCGGCAGGAGAGGTCTGCGCACCATGTGGGACCCTCCTCCGGATGGCCGGGGAGCAGCCGGGGATCGAACCGGCGCCGCAGAGGCCGCGGGCAGTTTCGCAACCCAGCGCTCAACCGCTGCGCCACCGGGGAGGCCCTCTAATAGTTGTTTGTAATTCAATGAGGAAAGCATTGTGGATAATGAAATGGAAACAGAGAATTTAACTGTTTTGTCCAAATTTACAGTAAATTTACAGTAAACAGTTCAGCTCTGTCAGACTTTCTCTCTTTGAATGGAAATCAGTGTGAAGATGTAAAAATATATAAATTTTATAAATAAATATGGGGCTATAGGACACCAAAACTCTGAAAGTTACACATAGAAGTACTCAGCAATTAATCTATTCAATAAACAGTTTAAACCAGGTAAAGTGTGCATTAATCTTAAAATCAAATATAAAAGAATGCAATTGAAACTGCTATAGTTTATATCAGTTAAAAAACAAAATATGAGCTATCTAGTGTCTGACAACTACTTGGTATTTGACGACATGGAGATTACTCAGAAATCATTCCAATTGCATAGTGCTGCTTAAATTACTCTGTTTTCACCACTCCATGTACAATTTGAATACATTACATTTTTATTTTTTAGTTACATAATGGCAGTGATATTCAGCATATTATTTTCTCTTTACCTGCATGCCAAATCATTGAGACTCCTAACCAGCAAATTTCTTCTAAATTTCTTCTAAACTCTGTTTAATGCAGGCTAAATTGTTAAATTTTTTTGGGCCTTATCTTCTACATCTTTAAATAAGGAAGTTATACCTGTTGTCTCTTAAGGACAGTTTAAAGTCCTAGGTTCTTAGCAAAGATTAAACTACTCAATAAAAACGTGATCATTACACCATATGATGATAAAGAACAAAAGGATATTGCAGTTCAGTTCCTGAAAATTCCCCTTGTAAGAGGGTAATTGTTACCTAGAGAAGTAAGAGCCAAGTTTTGGAAAAAACTAAAAATGGAAGGAGAGACTAGCAGAAGTTCTGATTCTGCTTTACAAATCATTAGTTCTAAGAACAGCATTTTTACACTGTGGCTCTTAGTAAGTGGCAGAACAAAATGGATTTATCAGTGCCTTTAAAATTAACATAATGAAAGTTATTTTTTTTTTCATCCTTGATGGTTTTGAGAGGTCACTTACATGATACATCCCTAAATTCCTGGAGGAGTGGGAGGGAGGGTATTACAGACTTCATTTTCTTCTCTATAACTAACTGTATTGTTCCTCTCTATTTCTATTGTTAGTATTCAAGATCTCTTACATTGGGAACTGTTGGCTTCCCCTGGAGGCAATCAGCTGCTCTTGGAGAGGACCTATGGAAACAGGTGAGTTCTTCCTGTGGATTGTTGTTACTCCTTTTCTTGGGAATGATCAACATTTCTTTGGATACTACTATATTCTTCACTTGCCAACTAAAATACTTTGATATGTTTGCAAATAAACTGTTTTAAAGTAAGTGAATTTAAAATGTATTTTAATGAAATAATTATATGACAAAATATAAAAGATGAAATGTGATATTTAGATGCTAACATATAAAAATAAGCTATGACTCTCAGTTATATTTATTCAAACATTTTAAGCACACAATTTTTAATTCTTTTTAAAAAACTAACATTATAAAAGAAGCATTCCCCTCTTATATAGACTCTATAATGATCAATGAACATTAATGATAATTGAGGTGTTATTATTAAAAATAAGTCTCATGAATGTCTCATAATTAAACTAAGAAATAAATGTAGAGCTAAACAGATTGCTTTTGTGGAACAAACACTGTTATATTTTTAGCAAATATAAGCAGTGCTTTTTTAACGTAGTATATGATTTGATAGTATGTTTGACTCCTGGGAAAACAATTAATGTTACATAAGATTATAGCACATAGTCAACAAAATCTTTCATTCAAAGGAAACTAGAAAATCTTATACTACATAAAATTAATGTTTCTAAAATTCATATTTTATATACTTAAATTTTGGGTACAGATCAATACTAAAAATTTGGTAAGTCCTACTGTTTTATAGCTCAAATGTCATGGTAGGATCTACACTTGTCATTATTTGCATACTTACTGAACTTCTGTGATTTGCATAATCAATCCCAAGGGTAGTCATGGCTTTTACAATAGCTAGGATGGATTGCAATGTGTTACTGTAAATTACTGCTTTGAACTCCATGCATTCTTGTTCACTGTAACCATTCTTATGGATGATCCTATAATGTAAACATGAAACGTTTTTGTGAGTTGAACAATTGCTTGTAATACTGAAACACATCAACAGTAATTTGCTTGAAAGAAATTTGCTGCATGTATTAGTTTTAAAAGGAACAATTTTGTCTATATATGCTAAAGGTGAGCAATTCTATGACTTTAGATTTTTGTTATCACTGCTTTAATATAGCATTTTCTTTCTGAGAATCTCATGCTAAATATAAAAAGGACTTAGGATTGTCCCTAGATAACCAGTATATAAAATGAATAAATCAGGATCATTTTACTTTAAAAGCTTATTTTTTTTCAGGCAAAAATTTTCTAGTCCCAGGGCAAAGGTACATACAGTGTTCTAAAATTTTGTGGTGTTTACAGCATGATATTTAGAGGAAGTGAAACAATTTAGTAGAACATTCATGTCTTTTCCTATCACTTAAGTCACATTGGGAAATAGGAGTGCCTGTTTTCTATTTATAGCATTAACAAAAGCATTTTTTCAAAGTGTTAATTATCCACTGTTATATCCCTTTGTCACTTTTCCATCTGTGTACGTGCCACTGAGTGCTCAAAGTTGAAATGCCCAGACATATTATTTGGCTGAACTCTTCTTTCCACTCATTCAATCAGAAGTCAGGTCAAGTTAACAATACACTTATAGTTTTGGAATAATAGCTTAAAATAGACTTATTTATTAAAAGCTAAAATCTTTGCATATGCTAATTACTTTGTTGCATGTTTGTTGCGTAATATATTTTTGTTTTTATTTTTCTGTCTGTTCTGGAAGTTCTTTGTATTCATTAGGTATCATTTTGGATGTCATCTTACTAAGTATTCGTAGTGTATCTATACACATAATGGCTTTATAGTAGTAAAAAGAATATTGGCATATATAGGAATATAGGAGTAGAAGAATACATAGGCCCCTTCTACATTAAAATCTATAAATGAAAGGATTCTGCGTTAAAAGGAGTAAATGTACCTTTATCAATTATTTTTTTGTTTTAAATATTTGCTATATTTAAATTACTATATTTCTGCTTTAAATTTGACTGTTGCATTAAACAAATAAGTAATTTAAACAGATAGAGGCTGTAAGAATGTGTAAAATGTCCTAAATTACAAGGCAATTACAATAAATTTGGGGGAATGTAGACTTTCTATATGGAATAGGTTCTGGTTCTTAGCCTTTCGTTATAATATGAGCAAATGTATATTGCACAGCAAAATGATAAAAGCAGACTTTGAAAAGTCTGTAGAACTTTAAATACCATTGTTTTGCTAAGAGTTGCATAAATAAATTTCTGTGAAATCAAATGCTCTAGCTATAAGTTGGTTACTAGGACTGCTCAAATTATATGCATTATATGTTAAAGATAATGAATAAATTATACAAGTCCGTCATCTCAAAAACATAGATCAGAGCTTCACTATCTAATATAGTTGCCACTAGACCCACTAATTAAATTAAAATTAATTCGGTTCCTTAATCACATTAACCACACTTCAAATACTAATAAGCACATGTATGTAGCAGCTACCATATTAGGCACTACGGATATGGAATCTTCCTAACATTCAGACAGTTTATCATAGTGTACCAGATTATTGGAAGTCATAGCAATTTTTGTATAGTGTAGTAATGTCCAGCAACAATGTCAGCATGTAGTATAGAACTGCAAAAGAAAACCTGATAAATTCTATGGGGAGCAAGTATAAGGGGTCAAGGGAGACTGCTTGAGAGCTGTGAAGGCCAGTTGATTATTGGAAGATAGTTATTTCCAGATAGTCAAGAGGAAGGAAAACATTGTAGGCAGAAGAATCAGTGTGATCAAAAATATACTTAAAATTATCAAGCTGTCAGTATGTGGTAAACACTGTTTTGAAGTGCTTTGTATCCTTGTCTTATTTCATACAATGAACTAAAGTAGGTAAAATTGTTGCCTATATTTTACATAAGAAACATAGGCATAGACAAATGGAAGCAATTACCCAACATGCACAGTGTATGGTACAGCTGGAAAGCAAATGTAGTTAATTTAGAGCCCATGGTCTTAGCAATCAAGTTATACTGCCTTCTATAGGATGCTAGTCCATAGAACCATGTAAATTCAGCATTTCTGAAAGAGAAAGTAGGAAGGGAGAAACTATGGGACATGAGGATAAAGAGATAGTCAAGAGCTAGAAGCTTGATAGTGTAGGTTATAATTTCAATTTAGGAAAAAGATAGTCTTTTAAAGGATATCAGTTGGTGGTAGTGTGGATAATACAGTGGAAGGAAGAGGTGGGAGATAAAAACTATTTAGTAAGATACAGTCTTAATTCACATTAAAAATGCTGAGGTTTTGAATTAATGTGAAAAAATGATCTGTTTAGAGATGTGGCATAACTTTGTGAAAAGGTGAGGGGTCAGATAACTACACCTAGATATTGTTTTTTGCACTGATATTGTTATAATTCATTTTAGGGCCTAGAGGTTCATTGGATGGGGGAAGATAAGTTTAGCGTTAACTATTCTGAGTTGGAACTGTCCATAGATTATAGAAACAGATGCAATGCATTTGCTTCTCTAGTTTATACAGTGTCTCAGTTTGAAGGAAATATTCTGGGATAGTTCCCTTGAAGATGATACTGAAATCATTGGACTTTGTCAGTTTTCATTTAAAAAGATGTAAAGTAGGCAGATAAGAGAACCTAGTACATAAAAGACACCAGCAATTAAGTTATAGTCAGAGAATCTGGGAGAAGAGTTTGGAGGCTCTAGAAAGAGTTATCCTGGAAGATGGGGTAAAGTTTTAGGAGGGAAAAGCCCAATGGAGTCAAGTGAAATTAAAATGTGGTCTCTGAAACATATAAAAACAGCAATTGGGAGATCATAATTGATGCTTATAAAGGCAATTTCTGAGACATGCCAGAGGCAAGAGTAGTGGCAACAGTAGAAGAGTAAATGGAAAGAAGAATAAAGAGAGCCAGTGCTGACTATTTTTTTTACAGATACTACTGAGAAAAAGGAGAGATATGACAGAATAAGGAGACACATTCTTTCTAAAAAATAAAAGTAATATTTGCTCATTGAATAAACCCAACAGTTTCAAAACAAAGGTACAGTGCAACTAAGTCCCACTACTGAGAGCAAGTTTCTCTGATTATTGATACATTAAAAAAAAGTCCTATTTTGTCTTAGTTGAGATGAAGATTATACAAATTTCTATTTTTATGAAAGTGCTGAGACTTAACCCCTAGGCCATCAGGGAGGCTCCACCAATTTATAATTTGGCTTTCTAGTAAAAATAAGCATTTTCTTCCATTAAAACTATTTTCATATCCATATAACTTATAATATATGCAAAATATTGCAATTAAAGACTGAATGGTCCTATAATTTTGCAATCTGTATGTTTCTTTAATCTCAGGCACTTTGCTTTATCTCATATTCATATCTTCATATTTAAATTATTTTCAGACTTTTAAAAAACTCAATGATTTAAAATTCTAGAAATGTATTTATAAAATCAATGATTTTCCCAATTTACTATGTTTATTGTAAGGATTAGTTCTTTAAACTTGTTATATTACTCTGCAAGTAGTAGTGAGAAAAAAAATCCATTTCTTAAAACCTCACCTTTACTGGCCATATTATTTCAAAATTATTTCTTACCAATTTACCAAGAAGAAAAATAACTCATTATTGGTATATTTTTCACTTTTTTATACTAGTTTAAACTAAAATGTACATATTTAATAAATATTTGAAATTTGCCTTTTGTGAGCTCTATGTTCATTGTATCTTCCCAATTATATGTATTGGACTGCTTATTGTTTTTCTTAACAATCTCAAGGTCTTTATATAGCAGGTTAGTCAATCATATTTATCATATTTACTATGGATTTTCTTCTAGTTTTCTATCTAATTGTTTATATAAATACTTTAAAAATTTATGTAGTCAAATAATTGGTCTTTTCTTTTCTTCTACATTTAACCTCATAGAAAATGGAGAGGTAGAATGGGATAAGAGGGGCTCAAACACGATTATAACCTGAAAGAAAAGAATAGATGAACACAGTGTTGGAGGGGATGCAGGATGACTCGGGTTCAAGGATGGAGCTGAGAAGCCAAAAGCAGTTGATCAGTGATACTGGGATAAAGGAGACAGAGACAGGAAAAGGTAAACCACTTTTTGTAGATAGAGATTACAGGAGAGTTCAAAAGTGAGGCTTAAATATTGGTTCATATGAAATGTACATGACATTACCTAGAAAAAAGGAAAGGAATGCTGTGTTGGTTTCAATTTAAAATAAACAATGTCTCAGATCATTCCCACTTGATATGCTCCAAAGAAGACCCTTCAACATATATTTAAAAGGAGCTCGAAGGTGATTGTCTTCTTTACCCGTAACAATGATTGTCCTTTAAAATTCTCCAGACAAAGCCATGTCTGTTCATCTCCACTTATCAATTACCATTTTATTCATTTAGACATCGCATTCTTGTAATGTTTGTGTTAATTATTTGCTTATTAAGAAATTCAGATTTGCTTATTTCATTAATAAGTATGGAGAATAAGTGAACTGAAATCCCTGAATACTAATTATTTTCAAATGTGCATTTCATTCCCAGCTAGACAAAATACCAATTATGTTAGAAATACTGTTTTCGCATGATTCAAATGGATAGTTGATTGGCATATTTTGAAGTGATTTCATTTCTAAACACTATATTAAAGCCCTAGATTAGTTTCTGTTTAATTTATTTAAAACATAGCTGCTCTTAGTATTCACTTTGTTGAGAGGCAAAATTAAAAAAGGAATGGAAATTATATTATTACTCATCTGTATGTTTTCTGCTCAAGGCTGGGAGGGATATTTGAACAGGAATTGTGCCAATTCTGCTATAACCTGTGATTTAGAGACTATCAATCAGATTTTCCAAAACTACTTTAAGAATGGTCAAATACATGGACAGGCATAAAATATCGAACATTTAAAATATGTGTACCTACTTCATTTGTTTAACAATAGTACTTTTCCCAGATTCTCCTGCTCCTGCAACAGAAAGATTAGAGTATTATCAACTGATGTAACACATTTTTATAGATATTAATATGCATGAGTGTCACTTACTTATTGGCAAATAAACAAATACCTGTCTTGTGTAAAGGACAGTAATCTCTGTCAAATTCTGAAAGAGATGAGCTACTTTCTGGTAGAGCAGAAGAAAGTAAAACTCCTCATATTGATATACACAGATAGAGGTCTGCTCCAAGGTAGAGGATATTTTCTAAAGCGAGAAGAGAGTATTAAGGAAAAAAAAATCTGTTCTTGCATTTGAACATAGTTTGAAAGCTTATTATCTCCTCAGATTGCAACCCAAGAAAGATGGTCTAATATATAATGTATATAGTTTTATTTCAAACATTAGGGTAGAAATATATTATGAATATAATTATATATAATCATTATCAAATGATTATCAGTATGCAGATGAGAATAAAAATGAATATAGCTCTTGAGTGAATATAGTGACAGAATTTGATTAAAATGATCACAGAACAAAAACCAAAATAACTACAATATGTAGGGTAAGGGGTAAGGCTACAGTACAAAAACAAACTTTAGTTTTTACTTATCCTTGTGTCCTAGATATGTGAGGGATGAGAGTGGGGAGTGAGCAAATTCAGGCAACTTCTTGAAGTTTGGAAGTTAGAATCTTTAAAGACAGAAAAGTCTGGAATCATGAAGAATTGGTAAAGCCAAGGGCCTCCCCTGGTGGTTCAGGCTTTTGAGAGCAGCGCTATGAAGCTGTCAGAATCCCACATGGCACGGGAGACCTCTCCTGTCTCACCTACTACTCCCCTCAGCGGTGTATTTCAGTCAGTCTGCCTGTTCTGTTCTCTGCTCTGTCTCTGGTGAATCCTCTCACCCTCCCACACATCTGACCTGTACCCCGGTTCTTGTATGCATGAATACATAAATCTTAAAAAAAAAATTAAAAAAATGAATTGGTAAAGCCTGATAAGTTTATCTGTTCATAAATTTTTTTAGATAAAATTACTAAGTATTAAGGAAAGCTCATCATTTTATAATCCATATAAAATCATATCCTAAGAATGTATTCCCAGGTCACAGTAACATTTATCAATAGAGACATTAAAATATGATATTTATCAAGAGTCTGATCCAAAATACCAGTACATAGAATTTTAGTTTTCTCATACTAATTTATGCATGTTAAGAGAAGCAAAGGCTTCCATATATTACTGGCAGCCCCAGAAATTGGGTGACAAGACATTCTTCAAAGTCTGTCTGGTTATTACTTTTGAACAGATTTCAATAAATACAATTAAATCAATTTTTTTAAGATTTATTTTTTATTTATGCAATAACTGGGGTACAGGCCAGAGACATGGGAGGGTGAAAGGATTCACCAAAGACAGAGTGGTGAGCAGAACAAGAAGACTGATTGAAATACACTGCTGAGGGGAGCAGCAGGTGAGACAGGAGAAGTCTGCCACGCCATGTGGGTAACTCCCTGGCCAGCTGGAAATCAAACCTGCGCTGCAGAGGCTACGGACAGCTTCACAGTGCTGCGCTCAACCCAGTGCTCCACCGGGGAGACCCTAAACCAATTTTAAAACCACCCAAGAAAAGTCCAAATTCAAGAAAACCAATATCCATTATTAGCAAAGCAGTCAACTATACCTTGTTTTACCTAAACTAGTATCATTTTATGTTAGTGTCACATGACTTTTGGTAACTTAAATCTCAGACTTTTATCCAAATTATACTGTAATATATATTGCACCTGAGGATCCTGAATACCTTATTAAATATTTTAGCCCCACTTTCAACCACTTTATTCTCCCTTCCCTATTCTACTTGTTTTCCTAGTGCTCACCTTACTCCACAAACTATGAGCTATTTACATATTGGTTTACATTTTTCCTGTTTGTCTTCCATCACCACAAGGTAAATTCCACACAGGCTAGGTCTTTTCATTTTGTTCACTGATGTGTCTGAAGCAGCAAATATAGTGCCTAATTCATAGTAGAATCTCAATGAGACAAACTCATATTCATACTTTGAAAATAATATTTGACTTCCAAATTTTATATATATATACACGTATATCTATATATATATAGATATAGATATATATGTATATGTATACATATTGAAATGCCCTTGCTTAATTGGCAACCTTTTCTTAAACTTTGAAAACAGATATAACTACAACTAAATTTAATTCTTCATAGCAAATTTGTTTGGACTAAGGCATCTCTAAATGTGTTAGTTTCTGTAGTTGTCTGAAACAATATATGATATTGAAGAAGTCAGTGTGGTAAAACTATGGGAAATAATATTTCACCATCTGGTGGTGATATGTAGATTTTTCCTCTTGGGTAATCATCCAGCATACTTTTTATGGTTTTTCACACAGTGTGAATTTTGAGAGGAAAAAAAAAGGTTAACAAATGTAAAATCAACCACAGCAGTCTGCTAATCTTTTTTCAGAGACTTCTGCTAAACACAAATACAGACCTTGATTAGCTATGTCTTCTAATAGAGGCTATGTGTAAAAATGAAGTATTTGAGAATAAAAAAATCACAGTAAAAGTATCACTTCACCTGCTTCCCAAAGACACCTGACTAGATTATTTTGCATGGCTGGGTATTACTTTGTGAAAGTGGTAATTGCAAACCAATGACCTTTGCATAATACTTTGGTTTGCTGACTTAGACAACTTGCTGTTGTGCTCCAGGCTTTTCATCTCCTTGAAGGAAAAGTTATTCAATCTGATTCTAAAACTGCTCTTGGTAGTTTTGCTTTAAACTCTTATGGCAAAATGTACATTAAAATGTAGTAGCATCCTACACAGGTGACAGATTGGGAGAACATCTCTCTTAACATGTATTTTCAGTTGTGGAAGATTAGAGGTAGGGGATACAGGAACAAATAGGTCCAACAGAAACTCCAGTCCCTGTCTTTGCAGATATATTTAGTTTGTATGCTGTTCAATCAGAGTCAAAATATTGGGGAAAGAATTCTTTCGAGAAAATCTGAGACTGAGAAAAGGACTAATTTCTATTACATGTCCTTAAGTACTGCTGCAACACCTATGATTTCTAAAGTGAAATATAGCAGTTTAGTTCACTTTCATTTAAATCAATTAACTACCATGAGAATAATGAGAAAAACTGTGCAAGGAATGCTCCAGAATTGTACAAGCATGCATATGCATGGTAGACAAATACAGTACTAACATGCGCTATTAGACATGTAAAAATTTTAAATAGTCACAACCAAATTTAATTTATTCTGTATTATTAACTTGTCAAAAAGTTACCATAATTTTGGGGACAATGGTCTTTTATACTTCACATATAGGGCCAATTGATAATCATACTGATGATACGAAAACTGAGCAAGTTTCCGAAGTTATTTGTAATTTTTGTGCATTTGTTATTTTTGTAGCTTTTTTCTAACATATCTAATCATTCATGATATGTCTCAGACAAGCAAAATAGCCTGTCACTTTTTAAAATAAATGTAGCTTTTTTAATAAATCCACATATAAAACAATATTTTTCCTTGAAAGACTTTCAGAAACGTCTGGATTATTTCTTGTACTATGTAGTGATTTTAGTTCTATACTGATGTCCAATATAGTTAACTATAGGATTAACAGAAAATTCCTGAAGAAAAGCCAACCTCTTGAAAATCTCATTTATTACTTGGAACTCCATTGTAAAGTTATTTTAGAAATAAATTAGTGAATCCCATTCTCACAATGTTTCTAGGTCTTAGTTCACAATAATCATCCCATTCTTGTAAGATTAGATCATGTTACAGAGCCAAATATAGTTATCAAAACAGCATGTTCACATAGGCTGAGGGCATTCTAAAACAATCTCTCCCTCCAAATTGTGGTCATCACTAAAATTATTATGTGGGTCAAAGGTACCAAGGAAATTTGAAGAAGAGATGCATTTATTTCTTTGAATTAGTGTTTTGAGTAAATAAATATTTAAAGTTATGCTTGGTTCATCTTCTAATACTCATGATGATTTTTTTCACTCTTAATGACAATAAATTAGAGATTTTATTCCACATTTCTATTTGAAAATACCAAAACCAATCTTAGTTTTCATTTTAGGTATATGTGTTATATTTTAGGTATACACTTAGTTATACATGGCTGTAAGTATACAGTATCTATACCTGAAATTAAACTTCAACTGAACACCTTTCAAGACTTATTCAGTACAAAGTGTAAAAACAGGTGAACAGTGTAAAAGTGAAATGAGAATAAACACTTCGACTTCTAGTCATGAGTAAGATTTTTTATAAGGGATCTTAAAAATCATGTAGTTGTAGAGAAGAAAGAAATCTTAGTAGTCAACCAGCTATGCACATCTCTTCATTCTGTGCATCGGAAAATTGAGTTCAGAGATTATCAGTCCAGACCTGGTTTAAAACAAACTCTCTTGACTCATAATAATAATGAATCATAATAATAATGCCATAGTGTTGTTTTCCTTTTAAATATACAATTGATGTGATTATCAAGGTAATTTTAATATTTGTAAATTATTTTAGGTTAACTTACTCTAAATATAAAAACCGTGTACTTCCACAGACATGTTGCTATTTGTCATGTGTTGCTAGACTGGGCATCAAAGATGTGAGGGCAGTCCCTTTTGAATAATTTAATTTTGATTCACTCACTGTTCTGTTTTCATGAAACAATAAGAAAATTATATGTCCCTTCCACATGACAATCCTTTAAGTAATCTAGACTGAAGCCGGGAATATGTAATAGACATTAAATTAAATAAAAATAGGCTTGCACTCACTTCTGACTTTGATTAGACATCTTGATCAAATTTAATCTCACTGAGAATCAGTGTCCTCTTTTATAAAATTGTGTTAATATCTACCTCAGGATTTTGGCAGACTAACATAAAAAATACTTAGGATATACTTTGGGCTTAGTCATCTCTCAATATTTTACTTGAAGCATGCTCTAACTTTTATCTAAGAG